TATTCGCGCGCAATTCACGGTGTCTGCTTCAACTTGCTGTCGGACACAGGGTGGACCTTATCGAAATCGGCGGCCGAACTGCCATGTTCAGGGGTGAAAGCATGCAGGGTTACCTATAGGACCACTTCAAACTTGGAAACGTATCCTAGGCATCAATTTCCGCGATATCGTGCACTCGGTGGATGCTAGGAATCTTCCCTTGATGATGTTTACTTCTGTTCGCCCCTGTATAAATGTATCCGACAGCATTAGACGTTCGGAGTTTGAGGTAAGAACACAACTCCGCTCCACCAAATTTGTCTCGGTAAATAACCCTGGGCTGGTTGCTCTGTTCATAATTAATTACTGGTGTCGAAGTCGGCATCGGAGCTCTTGATGACATTCACGATGATGTGCAGCCTATATCTCTTTTCTGCCATTTTTCCCACCGAATTAGATGTCTTTGCACGGGTCAGAATGAACACTTAGTCTCCTGCATAAATCTCTGTTTCACCTTTAGAGACAGGCGACGGAGGAAATTTTACTCAAATACCTTAGTACGGTTCCCAAATTCAAGGGTTTTCGCTTCTCATGTAATGGCGGACATTGCTGACACTCTTCTGCGTTTGCTTTTATCTCTTCCCCTAGAGAAGCGCCGTCAGCGTGTCCAAAATTGAGGCCATCTATTTATGCACTTCTGTTGAGATTGGACAGGCACTTGTGGCTTTTCCACTGGACATCTACTGCGTTGTCCTGGTTGTCTACTGCAAGGCTATCAACCCAAATCTAGGTTTTCCTCAAAAGACTTCGTTACTATCCTCTTCTTACTGAACATTCTCGGTTGAGAAAGTACCCAAGCATTTACCCATACCCTACAGCAGTCACAATTACAGACAGTAAGACAGTTCCGCTCTAAATTAGGCAGGAACGCAGTGACGACGGTTCAAGTTACGCAAACGGTCCTGATGGCCATTAAGAATTTGTTTATTTTAACACTGTTTGCATATACCTGAAATCTTTCTACTTTCCGTAACAGCCAGCCGATATGCAACTCCCAGAGCATTTATCGCAACCATACCTGTGAAATGCCGCGTTGTTCGCGGGAGTGCTGTTCATGGTGCGGACGTTAAGAAACTGATTCTGCGCTGGATTTTTGCGTCGACATCGAACCGGTGCCGGTGATGTCCGCGATCTGGTCAAGAGACTTCGGTAATAATGGTATGAAACAAAGCCCAGCAGTCGGTTCCACGTGTTTTCATCCTCGTTAACCCCCATATTTTCTAGGTTTCTGCATTGTGCTGACCTACTACACTTGATTATCTTTAACAATCTCGTCACTTTTCCTTTCTGAGCTGTTTGTTTTAATGTGACAAACACGCGCCCGCATTACAATCGCGGTGCCGTTCAACGTATATTCAGTATTAACCTTTTCGACCCACTGAATTGTCTTACTGATCTTTCTGCATAGGATTCGTGAGATATTGTTCGTTAGTTGATGATGACATTATTATTTCCTCAGCCCAATGCTTATCTTCTTTGCAGCAGATTCCATTCACAATTAGCCCTGTGATTGGAGGCGCAGCCTAATCTTCAAGATTAAGCGGTAATTAATGGCGTTCAGTACCACATATTGCCCTTGTTAGGAGCATGCCGCGGCGCAACACCGGTAATTTATTATTGGAACTACTTATTCTGTGAGGATTGTACGCACGCACCAAGATGGCGCGATTGATTTATGATCCTGCGTTCAAAGCATCGAAAATAACCAGTTCATCCGTCTTCGGCAGACATGAGGGGAGATGAGCGCCCATGGCAGAAATTACTCCTTACATTCCTGGAAAGTAGCCGGTGCGGATTGTGGCAAATCTTCTTGTGCACGGTGGAAGGCGCATTTTAGTACTTCCATTTTTTGTGGAGCCGACTACGACATCTCGTCATGGTTCCTCAACACGGCTGCTTCAGCAGATGTATCCTGCCACTATTCCATTCATCGCTACTCATTCTGATAAACAAGTGCCACGGAGAACGGCAGTACCCGTCTTCTATCCAAACAATTATCAGGCAACTGTAACTGTCCTCCTTTCTGGCCAGTTAGCTAACGCAAAATAAGATGTACAGTCTATATGCTTTGAATAGAAGAAGCCAAGTTGGCCGTATGGTGATGGAGAGTAGTGGTTCTGTTTGTTATTATTATGACGGCGTTCATAAGTTCCAGCAGCTACGGCCAAATATGTAGGCGGCCTGAACGCACATTTGTTTGGGGCACGGTACAGCCATTTCTTCCTTCGTAGAAGAAACACCGTGTATTCCTGTTTCGGGCTGCAGAGACATCCGAAACAGCTGCCGAATTCCATTATATCCAAGGAAAGGGTGGCAAGAAACCGACTCAAATTTGTCTGTTGCGTCTAAAGAACAGCACACTGTCCACTCCGTAGGATTAGTTAAGAAAGAGTGGTTCGATAAAGTCCGTGGGATTAATTACGTGACTAATTAAAATAAACTGCGCGTGAGACCGGAGTGAGGACTTGGACAGCATTGATTTGTGTCCTACAAGGCAGGACTAGGTTAAAACAACTGACAGCGAAATAGGATGAAGTGGCTGACTCGGCATAAGCCGTGTTTGCATACGATGCACTAGAACACAATCGGTTATTATCTACCCCGAAAATTAGATCATAGAGAGAGAAATTGGCCAGGAGGAAGCCAATGACTACACTAATATGCTTTGTTTCGATAGTCAAGGCGGATATCAGGAGGTTGTCACTTCACAGAGCACAGTTTCGTAGGGGCAGTGATGCGAATTAAAAGCCAGGTAAGGCGAAGCCAATAATTAAAGTGAGGCGTTCGAACGACCATCAATCCAACTAGATTGACCCGCCAACTGGGAAACCCACACAACCTATTTTTTTAAAAATACCCCCTACATCGCTGTTCGCCTACAATAGGACCCCTGTAATACCCCTCACGTCCCCTGCTTGACGTTCACTTAATGTGAAAGCCCTTAAAAGTGATGGATCCTCGCCCAGAAACAGAGTCCACAATGGAAACACAAGCTGGAAGTACAAGTCAGTAAAAGTTTAATTGTAAGAGCTAGCGGTTCCCTCACAAATAGCAGCGGTTGAGAAGTGAAAGAACAAATGGTTTCCTGCCGTGTGAAAGTCAGAGTTCGCGCTATGTACGCGCACCAAAACATCGAAGTGCAAATAAGACGGATAAAAGTCCACAGCAGAAGGTGCAACGGCAACCATCTGAAAAGGAGCACCGGCCGAGGTTGGAAATCAACAATCGTCCTCCAGTTCGAAGATGGTATCTGCGTTTAGTGAGACGGGGCACTTTGTGATATGTAGATTCAAACCAGACCGTGGACTGGATGGATGCGCCGTGCTGGTGGAGTGAAGCAGATTCTTAGCCCCAGGCAGATCCTGCCACCTGCAGATCGCATCATTGCTGTTCGATCGCATCCCGTTCTGGGAGGTGCTCATATCTGATTTTAAGGTTTCCGGGAGTGAAGTCTCAGGTTCGGTCGGTGTGGGGTCGGCTAAAGAAGAGGAAAGCCGAAGGGCGTTGCAAGCTGGCCAACAAAGGAAAAAAGAGACTGAAGGGAAACAAAGTAGCTACTAATATTAGTAAGTAGGTGGTTGTGTGGTAACTACGTCCAATAAATAGTGTAGCGTCTAAGTGCGGCTGCCTTCGTCTGTTGTTTCCCCTAATTGAGGGTTTGAGAGTGAATGCGAAAATTTCAGACGAACAAAACTATTATTCTAGGAAGAAATATTTTCCCACAACCATATCTAAAAATTTCAAATATAAATATGGAAAACAGGTTCGGGAACCGGTCGCCACGGCAAACTCCCAAGGTGCCCAACATCCCATGTTAATGTGGACGCAAACTGCTTAATTTGACTAAATTCGTTTTTCGTTCCATGCAGGATGACTTTTCGGTCAGTAATAACACTTCGGCTAACATAAATTAGGTTGTTTACCATTATCCGCCTTGCTAACGAGAGGAGAGTCTGCCGATTCCGCTGGCACGGACGAGGACAGGGAAGGTTGTGATGAAGGCAATGATGGGGAAGGGGAGGATGGAGACAGCGTCATTTCCTCGTTTACGGTAGCAGATGCTTGCTTGGTCTGTTCTTCCTGTAGTCGTTTTTGTTGACGAGCCAGCAGCCGGCGTTGTTTGTGGTTCATCGAAGTGACCGTGGAAGGTTCGGTATTCGTTGGAAGGAGACTGGGTGCTGTGTAACTGTTATTTCGGCGTCGACGCTCGGACCGACGGGCATTTCTCCTGGGACAAAAACCGCAGTTATCACAGAAACAGCTGACGAATATATATCATCACTCTAAAGTGCGGTTGAAAATATTCGACAGGCTCGGAAATATGGAAATAGGTTTCTACCCCAAACGGCCTTGCATGCTGGAACGATCGTTTTTGTTTCAACTTCGAAGAGAGGGGGCCTGTTAAAAGACTCCTCTACATTCAATGTATTTTTGATTAGTACATTGTTTGACAGATTTGAATACAGTGGAACCTCGGTTAACGAGTTTTATCTGTTCCCGCTCCGAGCTTGTCATTTGAAACACTCGTCTAGCGAAGCGTAGCCAATCAAATGCATCAGTTCACTGATTGGCTGCAAGCGACCGAGGCCCCACCACATTGGAGCAAGATTCAATGAAGAGCACCGGCACACACACATACTGAGCGCTCGTTAATTGAGCGGATGCTCGTCAATCGAAACAAATTTTCAGCTAGAGGCTCGCTCGTTACCTTAAATGCTCGTAGATGGGGGCAGCTCGTCCCCGTAGGCTCCACTGTAAGCCGTTAAGTTACCCACCTGTTTCCCCTAGCTGTTGTGGGTTCGAAATACAGCGAGGGTGCCTAGTTTTTTTACAACTGCGTAAAATGAATTATTAAACTCTACCCAACACCCTCCTTCCATCTACTAACTGCGAATTAGGCAGCACAAGTTGCAGGAAACCCGGATTCAACGCCTAATACGGCGTACGTAATAAAATGTATAGTGAATTCAGTTGAGGCATTTGCTTACTATTTGACGGGCGCAGTCCACTCAAATACTATGTGAAGGGTTCATTCTGAGCTACCTTAATTCAAGGAATATTACAGTTAAGGTGGTTTTAATCCTCCACAAAAATCGCATCCACCACGGTCGAATGTGTGATGTAACACAAAGTTCTTTTGTAGTAAACTCACTGTTTATTGCGCAGCAGATGGTGCAGGGTCTCCACAGTATCGTGCGGGAAGAAGGCCACATTCTCGTCTTTCCGTGAGAAGTTGACAGAACGCAAACGACGGCGAGGCGGTGGTGACCGCCATGAAGCAGACACCACGGCCGGATCAAGAGGTGAGATGAGACTCGTAGGGAGACCCGAATGGGACCTCCTTTTACCCATACAACAGTTTTCTTGCTCCTGGTCACTGTCAGAACTTTCTGTGGGGAATTCTGCGGAATCAAACAGATCACCACCGCCGGTTGCACTGGTCCCTAAGTGATGCTGAAACCCCTCTAAACTCGATTCTGTCGAACAAAGAAATATGGAAGGGCCTGTTAGGATCCGCTTTTACAAAAATAAAGTCAACTCTCAACTTTTTAGTGATATGGGTCAAGCCCTTTGGACACAATGGATGAAAGTAAGCAAGACCTCTATCATCCACACTCTCCGACAACGTTGAAGAAGCTTGGGAACAGTTCAAAGGGAT